AGCTCCCTCAGCTGCTCCTCAGAGGACTTGTGCTGCAGACCCTTGACCAGCTTTGTTGCCCTTTTTTGGGCACATTCCTTCTTGTAATGACAGGCCCAAAATTGAACACAAAGTAATTGTGTGGAAGTGATAAGAACATAACAAGCTTGTCCTTTGAGCTAGGCCTGATGCCCTGGAATTAATGTCTTAGAATGTATGCTCTCACTCTGGCTACTTGCAACATTGTATAAACATCTGTTTCCTGAGTGAAAAATGCAAAGCCACTCTAGTTGTAAATGTTCATGCAAGCAGCATGCTCTGAGTCTTCTGGTAGCACGTTGGGTTTGAAATGCATGCACATGGGCATTGTGAGAAACTGGTGTGGGAGTCTTTCATTCAGTAGACACAGCAAGCTTCATCTTGCAACCTGGCAGCAGTCTTACCATTTAAATAGTGTTCGGAGAATCAAGATTAGAGTTTCCCAACTTAATCTTAAATAAATTACAGCACTCGAAAATACAATAGTTAATAGAGACCATGTTTAATCAGGGAAGGCCCTACTGTACTCTTGTTACAATATTTAGGTTAATGGTATTTTAAGAGGAAATAACTGTGAAGGCATTTGGCTTTAGTAACCTTGAAACCAGGGAGAGTGTCTTTGATTGAGCTATGGCATCAATTAGTGAAACTGAGGATGTTTGATTTGGAGCAGAATTGCTGAATTTTTGTACTGTGAAGTTCAACTAAGATGAAGCCTTGAGTTTTGAGGTTGTCCTTCCCAATGTGGGAAATGGCTCATTTAGTTTTGTCATGTTTGTGCTGCTGGCAGACTGTCAGAGGGGAGGAGGAAAGCTAGAAAGAAATCAGAGTAGCTTAAACCCCATAGTAGAAAGGGAGGAACTAAAGGCACAGGTTAAAGTGTTCTGTAGAAAAATACTGCCAGATAACACTGAGATCAGTGCACTTCATCAGCATGTGCTTTGTTGTTGTCACTAACTCTTGGTTTCAGTGTATGTCACTTCATTATTTTTCTCTGTTTAGGTGGTGCAATGATTGGTGTTTTTGCAGGAGGAATGGGAGCACCTAGCATGGGCCCAGTAAGATCTGGAATGAGTAGGTTGACTTGTTTCAATAGAACATAAATGCATAGGCAATGTCGTGATGTGGTGTACATGTAATTGTATCAGAGGATTTCCTTGTAGTGTAGTGTCTTGCATCTATGGAAGAAGTAGAGTCCTGTTGCACATGACTGCAAGTCTGATAGTTTTCAAAGCTCTTTTGTTGAGGTAAAAATTCAGAAGAAAACTTGATAATACAGTCTTTCCCTTAATTCTGGTTTTGAAATGGTTTTAACTTCTAGTTTGGAGGGAGAGGTGATTAAAGTAAACTTGTGTTCCAGAAAAAAGACAGATAGGCACATTTATTTGTGTAAAACTTCATGAAGCTGAACCTCAATAATCAGTCATCATTGAAATAAAAATCAGGCTTGAATTTCACATTATTACTCAGTTTAATTTTGTGCAAAGCTCCAATAATGAGTTTGTATTGCAGCAAATATCTGAGTTCCTTAGGCTAGACCAGATGAGAAACTAAAATTTTGCTAGTGCCAATCTTGAAAGGCATAAGGCTTAAAAAGAATGTCTCTCATGACTGCTCTTGATAGTTTTGCTGTATATTAATTTTTAATTATTAATCCAGAAATAATACTGAATGCCATTGCTCTTAGTTTCTTATATAATATATATTAATTTTATATATATATAATTAATTATATATATATATAATTATATTTCATTGCTTATATCATAGGGAAGTCCATGTTCTTTACAGTGCTTGGCAGTAACTTCTGTTTTCTGCAAAACAGAGCCTTCTGTGGAAAATTTTGTCTTTGGGTGTGGCTACTGCTGCATTAAGTAAAGCTCAATGTAAATGCAGGAAGCCAAATAAACAATAGTGTATTTGGTCAAATTATCTGTATCTTAGCATTGCCAGTTATTTACTTGATCTTTTTGGTACAGTGTGTCACATATTTATTAATTAAACAGGACAGCCTTGAATCTGAATTGTAGTGTTCAACACTTTGCTACATTAGGTGGTATGGCTAGCAGCTTGATGCAGTCTGGTTTTCTATTTTAGAACTGACACTTTGTGTCTTGTAATACTTTTACAAAATACTTGTGTGTTTATTACTAAAAAGAGATTTTTATTTTATCCTCCATTTCTTTCTCTACGTAGGTGGTGGGATGGGTGGTATGAACAGCATGGCTGGAGGAATGGGAATGGATCGGATGAGCGCTGGATTTGATCGAATGGGACCAGCCATGGGTGGAGGCCTGGACAGGAACATCGATATCGATCGAGGGTTTGTGCCTGGCCCCATGGGAAGTGGCATAAGAGAGAGATTGGGCTCTAAAGGCAACCAGATATTTGTGAGAAATGTAAGCAATTGAATATATAGAAGCCACGAGCTTATTTTGTGTGTATATTTGATTAGATGCTCTTTTTCTCTCTCTAATACATTGTTATCAATAATGTGTTTTCATTCTAGCTTCCTTTTGACTTGACCTGGCAGAAGCTAAAGGAGAAATTCAGTCAGTGTGGTATGTATATGAATCTTGCCCCTGCTCAGCTCCATCAGCTTCATGTTTTATGTGGTGTTCATTAGATAAGGACAGGAAGACAAAACTGTTGGCTTACTCTGAAGGACAGTTTGGTGAGCTTAATCTTTCTTACTTCACCCAGCTTTCTTGAGTTATACAAATAATTTTTAGCCATGGCAGAACACAAGACCAAGGTACAGTGTAGGCTATGTTGGCTCTGAGTGCTCACCTGCTATAAACTTTTACTTATTCCATTAATAAAATTACTCTTTGAGATTTTCCTTTTTTGACATGTCCTCTGGCCAGTAAGAGTATATAGTGTAGAGTTTCTTTTGAGATAAATGGATGCAGGGACCTGGGCCTGTGCAGGTCATGCATTACTTCAAAAAAATGGTGCTGCATCAAATCAGAGTTAGTAGTTTTGCCAAAGTGGCAGATTGGTATTTTGTGCATATAGATGATCCTGATTAGCATCTCTGCAGGCTGTAATGTTGCCCTTTATCTTAAGAAATAAGGGGCCTTTTGATATACGATAAAGGATTGCTACAAATATTCAATATTTTTTTAATGTAATTCAGAAAAGTTTGTCTTTACACAGAAGTAAATGAAAAATAAAGCTTGGGTATAGAAATACATGATGTGTTTTAAAAACACATTTTCAGAGCAGAAAGCTTTAACTGAATTACAGGATGACTTTTATTTTGGAGAGACAGAAAAGACAAATAATCTAAAACTGCTGATGTCTAAGCTGTTTGCAGATTTGGTATTAATTGAACTCACTGTTCAACTATGAAAAATTATAAGGTGTTGATTTTTTTTTTTTGTTGCTGGAGGATATAGTGCAACAGGTTTTTCTTTTTTTAATTCTTAAATGCCTGGCAACTTTCAGATTGTTCAGAATTTGGTTTTTTCAGTCATCTTTTTCAGCTAACAGATGTAGTAATTATGTTCAGCTGCTTTTAAGAATTATAAGCAACAGATTGTATTCATGCCAGTATCATAAGGAAATACAAAGACTGTGTCTCCCAGTGTTCAGTTTCTTTCAGTGAAAGGCCAGTCTTATATGATGTTTAAAAATAAAAAGCCATGTATTGTAGTGAAAAGTTTTTTGTTCGTAGTGGCATTCTGGGGCTCAGGAGGGATGTGCTATAACACACCATAAGTGAAAACTCATTAGCTCCAGGGAACTGAACATTCTCAGAGGTACCAAGGCATCTTCATAAAAGTAACGCCTTGTGAGTTGGGTGTCCAACCTCAAGAAAGCTTGGCAAGAATTGAACAGTGCATATTAGTTATCCACCACTCCTAACCCGGTAACTGCATTGATTTAAAGACTTGAGTTTTGCTCTGCAGCTCCTTAACAAAACTGTTTGATTGTTGCTATTGCTTGATATGTTTTTGAACACTGTGGACTGGATTGAGCTGCAGTTCAGTTAATGCCTGTCAATACTCACCCTCCTGTCAGTGTCTGTAAATGAAACACAAACTTTTCCCTGAGTCTTACAGGGCACTTTGTTTCAAACTTGAGGTCAAACACAGGCATAGTTACACTTCATCTTAATGCCGGTGTGAAGATTTGAAATAGTGGATCTTAATTAAGATTCTTCACTGCTATTTTGTCCCGTGTCCCCTTGCCTGAATGAGTGAATGTACCATCAGTCTGGAAGTGCCAATTTCATATGTTCCCCTAGATTATACTTAGAAATGCTTTTTTATCACTTCTGAGTTCTTTAAGTTGTTAGTGCACTGAGGACTTGAAATAACTGCTGTTTAACTTATTTATTCAGGTCATGTAATGTTTGCAGAAATAAAAATGGAGAATGGAAAATCAAAGGGCTGTGGAACAGTCAGATTTGACTCACCAGAATCTGCTGAAAAGGCCTGTAGGATAATGAACGGCATAAAAATCAGTGGCAGAGAAATTGATGTCCGCTTGGATCGCAATGCATAATTTAAAACTGTGTGTTCAGGAACATTCCTATGTCTTGTTTAGCTTCTCTATCTTAGCAAGTCATTTTTAGTAACATTGTATGCTTACAAAAGCTGTAAAAAGGAACTTTTAAATCCCACCAGCCTTTAACAGTATAGTGTTTAATATACTGTGATACTTGTTAACTGAATCTTACTATGTTTGGTTTTTAAAGACAATTTGCCTGATTTTTGTTGTTTTTTTAGAGGCACTGAGCACCTGCAGGTCCCTGTTGACCGTGGAAGCTTTGGATGCTCAGTGCCTTTGGAAAATTAGGCCAAGTGTCTCTAGTCATTCAGTTTAAATGAATGGTTATACTGTTTTTAATAAAATAAGCCATTTTCTCTGTTAATCTCAAGATTGCATAGTGGGATTTATTTAGTGTTTTATGATTTTTATTTTTGCCCTCCAGTGTGTATCAACATTGTAATGTAAAAAGTAGATGTCTTTTTTTTTTCAGAATTTTGGTTTTATATGTGCATTGTAGTCATACTGTAATTCTTAACTCTAAAAGAAAGGGCTCCAATTAGGCTGTGATGTTTTTGTTCTACTTAATATTACTTTGATGACATGAATTAGTTCTGTATATAAGACTTAGAGCCCAATGGGAGTTTGGAGTTGTTTTTTTTTATTTTATTTTATTTTATTTTGACTAAATGAAGAAACTGATCTTTTCCTCCTGTTTTAATTTTTTGCATCAGTATAATCACTGATTAAAACTAGTTACCACAGACCCTTGTAGGATTGTTTCCTATAATGCCAAGTTCATATAAAATTGCTAGTACAGTAAATACTAAGTACAGTACAAGACAAATTGTTCCCAATTTTTTATCTATTTTCCAGCCATTCAGGTGAACTGCCAGAAAAACAAAAACAACAGAACAGATAAGAGAAATGGCTGTGTATGTCAGACCACTGCTGTTCACTTCTATGGGTCCTGATGTATTTATGAAGGCAGTTTTTATAAACCAGGGTATTCCCAGACAGAGCATATCGAATACATTGGATCCTACAATGTTAGACATAGCCATATCTCCATTTCCTGTAAAAGAAGAAAGGCAAATTAAGTTTGCTTAATTGTATTGGATGAAATTGCCAAACTGTTTTGGAGGAACAGACTGTCAGCCCTCAGTTTCTCACAGAGCACCCTTTTCAGATTTTGCATCGAAGGAACTGTAGTCACGATTCTACAGAACATGGTTTTGGGTACCAAAAGCATAAAAATATCTCCCTAAATCACCAGCATCTGCACAGTTGCACTTAAAATAAGCTAGACAGGCTGTTATAAGGTCCAGTTAAGTTTAAAATACCAAGACCTACAGTTGTGTTCTGCAGTAAAACTGTAATACTTGATCAGCAACAAATAAACCAATCTAGAATACTTCTCTGAGATACTCTGAGAAGCTTTGAAATGTCTGAGCCACAGCTTTTTCAGGTAAGCTATTTATTTATTTTTAGTAAACTTAAGCTCTAGAATCTGGAGCACAAATTTTGAAGTTACTCCTAGAATTCCTGGAAATGTTGACTAGAATTCTTTTTTTTCTTGGTACCTCTTGAACACATCCATTGGCATGAGGCGAAATACTAAAATCTGTACCTTTTCGAGCCACCAGCACACTTGCAACTGTATCTGGTACACTTGTTCCTGCTGCTAGTAATGTGAGACCCATTACTGACTCTGGAATTCCCAGTGTTTCACCTGCAGTTGATAAGTAACAGTAGAAATGGTTTTAGTTAGGTTTCATCCAAAGAAAGTGCTTTGCACTTTGTTTGCTGGAGAAAGAAGTAGTAATCATACAGTAATTTCAAATGGAATGAGTCAGCTAACTTGACTACATATGAAGTGACTAAATCACAAAGTAGTTAAGAGTAACAACATAGAAATACCATTCTGTCCTTGTTCTTCAATCAAATCAAAAAGGAACTATAGTTTAGTAACCATCTTAACAAGTTTCTTAAAGACCTGTGTGGAATGTCTCCAGTGGTCAAGACAATAGCAGTTATGAATTTTTTCTTGCAGATAAGGTAGATGTTTAAATATCTAACAAATAACTAGGATTTTTAATTTTTTTTTTCTTTTTTTTTTGCTCTCAACTTTAGAAAATGCAGTCTCTCTTATGGTTCTGGGCATCTCATTAGTGTTCAAAAGACTTATGAAGCAATAACTCTTATAATCACCCTCTTTAAAGGGGAAAGGGAAAAGCACATGAATTTTCTTGGGTAGGAGGGTCGTTAAGCTATTAGGAGAAAACTGTCTCAACTACATGTTTACCATTTCACTCCAATTAGAAAGTGCTTAGATTTGGAAGAATCGAAATGCAGAATTTTTATATGACTTGTAAGTACAAGTAACCCTTTGGAAGTGTGAGTTCCTTTAAGTAAATACTTGTTTAAATTAAGAAAAGTTTTAAACTGTTTCTAAAAGGGCAGCTTATTTTTCCTCACTGTTAATTTTTCTTAGCCCCACATGTCCTGTAACCATATTACTTTCTCACAGGTATTCTTCAAAACCATTTTAGCAGTTGTACCATTCAGAAGGGTCAATATGCTGAAGTGTTTGACACCTCTGTTCAAGCTATTAAGTAATGAGTTTTTCTTAAACCTTTTTGTTCACTAAAAACTATGGTAATGTTTTTTATTGTTGAAATCTGAATTATTACTTGCAGTATTTCAGCACGAATTAGAACAGTTTTAATAAAACAAGAGGCAGTGCTCTAAGCTAGGTCAGCAATGCTTGCTTATTGCTTACCAGCTTTAGTCTAGAGCAGCCCAGTAAATTTGTGTTTAAAACTGTTGGGTCAGATCCTGTTGCAGAATTTGTACTCTCTTTATCCTGCCATTGCTCCTAATAGATTTGTAGGATGAGGGACCAACAAAATCAGCTTTTATAAACCATCCAGGCTGGAAAATAATGGGTCAAACCAAGGTGAAGTGTGAATGAACCAGCCTTATGTACCCAACAGTAGTTTCTAGCCCTCTGAAGGTTATAAGACAGAATATAAACTCAGGAGAATCTAATTTTTCTTTTTATTAGATGGATTTATCTTCTATTTAATGTGTAGGGTTGTTTTCTTTTTTCTGGCAACTGACCATAAAGATAGAATATTCTTATTTTTCTAGCCTTTAGTTAATTTTGTGTATCAGTGGCAATGTCTTGCTATAAGTAGTCAGATTTTCTTTCCTAGCAACAGAAAGGTGTACTGAGGTTTGGTTTTGACTATCTAAGTTTAGTCCCCAGCTGTGACACCTTTGTGACATTCTGATAGGCTGATTACGCAACAATAGAATTTTTGAGTCAACCTTCATGGAAGAATCTGGACTTGAATATAATGTGTGTGTAACTTTTAGTGTTTTAACATGTAAACAGAGCATATTTTACCTAGAAATAGTGGGCCAAAGACCCCAGTACTGCCTGTGATGACTATTGAAAGTGAACTACTACACTACTGTACCTGCTTTCATATGAATTAATGCTTTGTCCTGTAGAACAGCAATAACTTTGACTTGAATCCTGTTTCAAAGGCTTCTAGCATCCAGACAGTGAACCCTCGCTCTTTAGATACAACTGGAAAAATATTTGACGAGGGGGTGGATGTGGTGGTTGTTGTATCCAGCCATTTACCAGTAATTTCTCAAAGGTTTACCAAATGTGTAGGTCTGTTTCTGCACTGAACAAGGAGTTATTCATATCTGAGCTAGCAGAATGCTTGAGTAGGATTAGTGAACTATAATGTGGAAATGACAAGCTTTGTAAAATTTCTTTCTGGTTTAAAATTTTGTTTTCTGCTTGTTTTTAAAATTAAAAACTTCATTTCTTTAGAGCTGACTGGAGAAACAGTGAAATAAGGAGACCTTAAGGTACTTTTAGTATTTTTACACACAGGTTCATACCCCTTCCCTCACTTAAACACAATCCTTTCACTGCTTCAGTTTTTGATGATGCACATTTGTAAGAGATTTACATACACACACACCAAGAATGGTTAGTAAACTCATGATGCTATAGTTGAAATAATATAGTACAAAAATTTGAGACTTTTTTTGGCGGTGAATGCCAAATCTCTTACTATAGCACTCATGAAGAATACAGGTGTAGAAATAACAGATCTTTTCCAAAAAACGTAACCTGTAATTCCAGTCTTTGTGGATTTTGTGTTTGTCAGCCTTCAGCATGACAAGTTTATTGCTGTGTATCTAATTGTTTCCCTTAATGAGCAGTTTAATGAAACTCTCTTTTAAAAAGTATAGGCTGGTTTTTTGTAGCTACGTAAACAAATCCTCCTTCCTGTCATGGTAAGCCGTGTGAAGTAGCTAAACTCGGAAGTATTCCATCAGTAGATGGAAGAGGGTGGCCAACTAAGCAGTCAAACACAGGTTTCTGTTGGGTTTTCTTTGTTGTGTTTTTTTACAGCAAAGTCTGAGTTGCTAAACTGACTGTTGGTTGTGGAAATGGAAATTTCACAGGGAGAAAACTGTTTTTCCAGTGATTCTTGGTTGGTTGATGCTGTATAGCAGCAGCACTTTGGGTACCTACCTGCTATTGTTATCATCCATACAAGAACATACGTTATTGCAGAAATCCATGCTGCTGAAATTAAAAATGTCACCATGAACCAGTTCCTCCAAAACTGTCTTCTGCAATCTGGTATAGTCAAATAGAGTAGTGTAATAATGGGAAGGGATAACACCCACAAAATTCTCTTCATATCTGCTTCAGGCATGGTGAAGACATTTGGATGATCTGTTGAAGAAAAAGTAACTATTTTAAATTGTAGCATTAAGTTTGAATCTATAGCATACAGTCTGTTACTGTCCTCTATTTGTGAGAATACTGAAAAAAGGTGAAAAGTACCTCCTTAAGTTCCAGCTGTAGTATTGCCCAGTACCTGCATCACTCTGGACTAAATTCTGAAATCAAGTTACTCTTGGGGAGATTCTGCTTGTACACAAGAAAACCATTTTTCACAATGAGAATAATGAGCTACTAAAATGATCTCCTCAGGGAAGTGGTGGATTCCTAGTGCTGAACACTTTTAAGATTCAGCTTGAACAGGTGCTGGGCCATATTCTCTAGACGGTGCTTTCCCAGGAAAGGATGGACCAGGTGATCCCTTGGGTCCCCTTCCAACCCGGTATTCTGTGATTAAAATGTTCTTTATTACCACATCGCCAAGGTAGATGAAAAATTAACTTTTCTATAAAGGTTTACCCATAACATTTACAAAAAAAAAACTACTGGGCTTTTTGCCTCAGAGGAGACGTGGCCTGTGGCCACATCACAGCTGCTCCTTCTGATGTGATGCATATTTTGGGCTACGAATCTGTCACTGTCATAAGAAAACAGCATATATTAGTACAGTACCAGCGTGGCTTTCAGGTGATAGTGCATTTTACAAGCAGTGTTGCTGGGAAGTTTCAAATATACACAGCAAAGACTGATAGAAGTTCTAATAAGACAAAAATGAGCAACTATCCTTACATTCCTCTAGCAACTAACTTCATATAAATACCACCAGTCCGATTTTGCCTAATTTTATATTCCAGGTTAGAATATAATTTACTTAAATACTATGCTGGAGTTATTTTGTGAACAAAATCTTAAAACTATCTCAGAATCTGCTCTTGATTAGAACTGATGCAGACAGGCATGCAGAGTGCTAGAGACAGCTGTAATAGTGCTTGTACCTCCAGAGATTTCATCAAGCCCATGTAAGCTTGTTGAAAGGTGAGAGTAGTCCAGCTCATCCTGAAAAATTCCGCTGTCTGTCCTTGACTGCTGACGGATTAGAGGTCCGCTCTCTTCCCTCCATCCAACCAGTGGCTGCTGCTCCGCATTCTCTTCCATAGCTTTTGTAAAACATGTACAGCAGGGACTGAACTTTTTCATGAGGTATTGGTTGATTTTAATGTCAAAACACAGTATCAGAATATAACACCCATATATCAATAACAAGGATGCACTTTCATACCTAGAATGAAAAACAGGTTTTATGTAACATGTAGTATAAAAGAACCCAGTGACTGGTCTAAGTAGAGAGAGAAAATTTGCATGAGTAGCAAAAGGAAAACATACAAAGGCATCTTATTTGCAGTTGTATGGCTGATGTCATGGAAGTTTGTGAGTGTCCCCATGTCTTTCAGCAGTTTGATTAATTCCCCTCCTCTGCAGAACCTTGTTTGTGTATTGTATAGCTGCATGTTTCCCAGGGAATCTTACTGACTGAACATCTTCCTGATGTTTGCAAAACTGAGTCTTCATGTGACGGTTAACTTAGAAACTTCAAGAGACTTAGTGCTGGACCTGACTGTCTTTTTGAGGTAACAAGAGTTTTGGTGTTGATGGAAGAGTTACAACATCAGAAACTCGTGATCATCTGGCAGACAAACGTTTTTGTGAACAATTCTGCTATGAAAGGAAAGGCTCAAAAGGAGTAAATGATGAACACTAATTGCTATGCCAGAACAGTTGTGATAGAAATTGTGAAGTCTGTACAGACAAACCTATGCAGATCAAACTTTATAAATATGCAGGGTTTGAATGTTTAGGTAATAATCTTTACAAGCATTGTGACTTTCTGTTTTTTAAAGCCAACAGGATGTTTATTTCTGTTAGTGAACGGCAGTTCAGGCTACTTGAAGTTTGGGGGGTTTTGTTTGTTTTTCAAAACACTGTCTCGCTAATCTCCAGTCAAAATGAATTCAACACAACTTGTGCTCTTACCAGTAAATTCTGTTGTCAGAGATCATCGCAAGGACTGCTGCTGCACTGATTGTATATACCAGACAGTCTCTAAACAGCGGCCAACAGGATAGCCTGGAAACCTGCAGATCAGAGTCATTTACTTTTCTTAAACCTCTCTGTAATACTTTCACTAAGTGCTGTAAATGCTGCATCAATATGTTGTTTCTATATTATGTAAAAATTTAAGATTCTTAGGAATGACTTAAGTATGATATTTAACAAGTTAGTGTTTTTAAAAACTTTCATAGCAAGTTATCTTAAAACTGATTACATGCTGGTTTTGCTACTAAATAATAAACTTGGCAGTTGTCATAGTAAGTCTCCCCTGGCTTTTCTTGGAAAATAAGAATAGAGAACTGTTAGGCTCTTTGGAGCCGAACTGTCAAAGTTGATACATACCACAGTGGAAAACAGTCCACAAGCTGCAGAAATACCAAGAAGATTATAGATTGCTGATCCAAGGATGGTGCTGATGCCAATATCTCCCTTTGTCACGAAAGCTCCTGTAAGGAAAATGACTTTCTGGTATGTTTCAGTTCAACATGCAAGGAAAAGAACTGTAGGTTCTAAGAATTCAAAACATATGTCTCTTACCTAGAAAAGCAGTGACTAGTTCTGGAGCAGAGCTTCCAGCAGCCATAAAGGTTGCTCCAGCCACATCCTGAGAGAGGCCAAGGCCTGAGTGTGGAGCAGAATTGATACTTCAGTAGTCTTACCCTTTACTTGCATTAGTATATAAAGTTAGATGCTACTGCAGTTTAATAGAATAAACTTTCATTACTTTCGTACAGTCAGTGCATTTATTTGAGATTCATCAAATAATATCTTGAAAACTAGCCTCAGTTATTGGGCTAGTTTATTTCTAACTTTGCTACGGAAATTAGTTTAAATACCAGAAAAGAGGTACTGATAATTTTGAGATCATGTGCATATCTCTTGTAACATTGGCATTTGTATGCAGGCTTTAACTGTGTTTCTTATGGGTAATAATTGTGGGGAAATTCTGTGGACTGGTGTGATATTGTTACATGATTCATATCAAGTCTATCATCTGTCTTCCAGGGAAATCTATATTACTGCATCTTCACACACCAGAAACACTAGTTACATGCAAGTTAGTGCTGCAATCTTAAAATCAAATTTTCCCTTTGTATGGACAGTATAAAAGCCCGTGTCTTGATTGAAAGAAATGAGATTTTTGTCCTGGTAAGTTGACTCTTACTGAAATGTAACTCACTCTGGGGATCAAGTCCTCCACAAAGAAGAGGGATGTTTGGCCAACCATAGAGAAAGTCTGGCAAACGCTTATTTATCGTCAATTAAAAAAATAATCAGCTGTACAGCAGTGTTTAAGCTTACATCTTCTGTGAGTGTTCTGGTTTGGATAATGTTTTCCAGTGTTCAGGGATGAGTTTCCCTTAGGAATTTTTTTAATTCTTGGCAGAGAAAAGCTGAATTCCCAGCCAAGACCATCTCTTTAATTCAGTGGTCTGCTGAAGCCAGGGGAATTGATACAGGTTGATTAGATGTCAGAGAACCATTGTAACCACAGTATTCCTTTGTTTCCTGTGTCATACCTTTAATATGTAAACAGTAGCTCATCCTGATACTCGTTCACTACTTTCATAGAAAGAAGCTCTAGGAAGGTGCTAAATTCCTATGTTTATACAGGGAGAGGTTTGGTTTCTTCCTTTGGTTCCACACACCAGCCTTCCCCCGCACTTTTTTTCTTTTACTAGTAATCTGGACATGCTGTTGTGCACCCCAGAGTTACATTGTCAGTTTAGTTAATACTGAGGAAGTGTTAAGATCTTCCTCCAGAAAGAAAGCAAACACTATATGCAGTTTAATTGGAGTAGGTTTTTTCAATATAATATTCATCCTGTGTATCGAATTAAATACTGTACTGATATGTCTATGCACAAAGACTGAAGCTCGCTTAGTTTGGTTTCAGAGCACTCAAACTTTGAAGGCTTTTAAAAGAGAATGTTTTAAGAGAATGTTTAAAGAGAACTGACACCAAGCTCGGTTTTACAGAGAAAAGATCAGGATGTCACTTACATTCACTGATGATCTCTAGGGAGGGTAGGAAGTAATCATCGCACACAATGGACACGGCCAAAAACATGTACAGGATAATTATGAAGTAGATAACGATCCCTCCATCCTTCCTCTCCTGCGGCGTGAAAAATCCTTCAGGAAACTCCGATGAGGACGGCAGGACGCAGCGCGTCCCGTTTTCTGAAAAAGGTGAGCACACAAAGTGTTAACACATGCTGACAGCTTTCCGTCCCGCGGGGCTGCGGGGTTGGAGCTCCGGTGGGTCCCTCAGGGCCGTACCCGCGCTCCCGCCGGCCCGCTGTGCCCGCGCGCCCCAGGCCGCGAGCGCCGCCAGCAGCAGCAGCGCCGCGCGCCGCCGCGCGCCCGCCCGCATCGCCCGGCCCCGCGAGAGCCGCTCTGAGCGCGAGCGGCGGCGGCGGCCGCGCCGGGCGCGAGCGTCACGCGGGGCCGCGCCCCCCCCCCCCGACCCCGCCCTGCCCTCACGGATCCGCCCCCGCCCCGCGGGTAACGGTGGCGCATGGGAGAGATGAGCCCCTTCTCAGGGTTCCACTGCCCTCTCAGGTCCCATGACACCTCTCAGGGGTCCCGCTGCCTCTCTCAGATCCCATGACACCTCTCAGGGGTCCCGCTGCCCCTCTCAGGTCCCATGACCCCTCGCAGGGTCCCACTGCCCCTCGCAGAGGTCGCGCCCCTGTCAGGTCTCTTGCCCCTCTCGGGGGTCCCACCGCCCCTCTGAGGGTCCCACCGCTCCCTGCCGGCTGCAAGGAGCCGTCCGGGGTCCTGCAGCTGCGCCTCCCGAGCCTGGGCAGCGTCTGACGGGCCCGGGGGAGCCGCGGTCCGGCCCTTGCCCTGTCCTGCCTTGTGTTTGGGAGAGAACGGGAGTTTTTGGCGATGGCGGGTGAAGTCCTGGAGCAAGGTGCTGACTGGTGCCATGCCCCAGGTGCCATGGGCTGTCTGGGGAGGTCGAAGGTGACTTTAAGCTTAACCCATATCTTTTTTCTGCTGTGGCAATTTTGCTTATTCCCACTGATTCCCAGGGTCCCTGTGCCGGACTGTGGGAACACGGGGCTCGCCCTTCGCTGGGGCAGATGGCTGCGCCATTTAGGTGAACGTTTGCGAGAGCAGAGCTGAGACCTACACACAATCCCTCCCTTCAGACCCAGTTCACTGAACTCCTTTGTCTGGCAACCTTTCCACAATGAAGTCATGTGTATAACTGAGGATTAAAGAGTAAAATACAGTCTTTTAAGCTTTGTAAAGTCGTCCCCCCCTGCCCTTCCCCAGTTACTACTTTCTCAGGAAGTGAGTTGTGTTTCCATAGTACACACGTCTCCATAAATATTTCCAACCCTATGATGCCAAATGGCTTTTTAGGGTGCCTGTTTTCTTTCTGATTCTTTGTGAGGTGCAGGGCTGATGCTCACATTTGTGAGCCAGAAGTGCAAACTGGAGCACATTGTTTTGCTCCATTGCCTCTAATCCCTCTAAACTCTTCTTGTTCCCTGAGTCCGTGATGTTTGGCTAATAAGTGATCAACTCTTCTGTGGGATACAAGGGATGAGCTAAGGTGAAAAAGTTTAAATTCTCCTTTTGAATCAACTGCAATTGCACAGCCACTATTACAATATGAACACATTTAGTAGTCAAGATTTTTAGGGGCAACAACTAACTTTCCAGAAATGAATTCTGTGTTTATTTTCACGAGAAAATAAATAATTCTGATCTTGAAAGATTTAAAGATTTTCTTCCAAATCCTACTTTCCACCAAAGAAAACAGTACAAAATTTCCTGTCTAAATTACTGGTGGCTCTTTCCTTACGTAGGTCAACAGAAAGGGTTTTGTTATCAAGGTGAGTGGCTTCCTTGCCCCTGCCTCTCTTCCTTGAAACTTATCATTGGCCTACTCTTAAAAGTTCAGCACAGTTTTTCACCTGCTTCATTTGAATTTAGGTATTTTTTGGATGGTGTACTCTTTTTTTAATAGTTGTAAAGTACCTTTGAGCCTGGTGTTCTGATGGGAACAGGCTCTGGTACAGCAACATGCTCGCTGCATGGTTAGGAAAGCTCAGTCATGCGATTTCAGGATTTGAAGGTTTTGCTCTGCTCTGGTTTTACTCTGTGTTCAAGCCCTAATTCCTTTCTATAGGCACCCCCTCTCCACGCATAGCTGAAGCAAAGCCAGAGCTTTGATTTTACTGAAGGCTGAAGTCCGCTTAGTTTGCTGAGCAGTTGTGAGTGAGGGTGCTGCGCTCTCACCCTCCTTGCCAAGAACACCCCTGCAGAGAGCAAGGAATAGGAGAAAAGCCCTGGGTCTCCCAGCATGAGGAACCACGTGCTGCCTGTCTGCATGCCTGACCCAGCACAAAAACACTGGCAGCCAGAGTATGCTCCGGGCTCAGCACCGCTGGCTGCCTGGGCTGGGCCGCTGCAGTCTGAGAACATTCTGTGAAGCTGAGGTGTCTCAACTAATAGTGCAGATTTAATGCATGCTG